CAGAGAGAGTGTTGAGATATTGTGCTAGTCTCTTAAGTTTGACTCTTAGCTACTACTTATCGACTGATTGGTATTATTAGTATATTATTAGGGTAAATTACATAAAATGTAACTTTAAGTTATATCGATTTTATTTTTAAACTTTTAATTGTTTTAATTTTAGTGTTAAATTTTGATTTAGTATTTAATACAAACACTAGATCGTTAAATCTTCAATGAAGTTGTCATTTTTTTCTAAAAACTTTATTTTATGTATCAATTTTATCATTAAACTTTAATTTACATACCAATTTGGTCATTGTCGTTGTTGTCGATTAATCTCGTCAATAACCATGCATGTCAAGAATAATACCAAAATGTTTGTAGTTCACTCTTATTTGTTTTTCTCATATTGGTATCAATGAAAATTACTCTATTTCGATAAAAATATATCTAAAGTTTCGATGTTCTAATTTTCTTATCTCCTTCGACGATCGTGTAATGAAAAAAAAAATTGAGGTATATTGTTCGCCTTCTTGAAAGAATTCTTCTCACCGTTCAAATTTTCAAACAAACGCCTACAAGTCCTCAAATTTTAGAAAACATCTAATCCGAAGCCTTTGGATGGATTCTCATCAATTTTTTGTGGGTTTCGTGGAAAACTGATTCGATGAGAAGAGATATGAGTGAAATGTAAATGTTTTGGTATGGATATTACCACGAATGAAAACTAATGAGAGGTGATGATTGACCCGGCCATGATAAAATTAATACACAAACTAAAATTCAATGTCTTAAATTGTAGCATTTTAAAATTTAGTGACAAAATTAATACACAAACTAAATTTCATGTCAACACCAAACTAACACATCGGCTAGGTGTTGATAGTTTAAAGGTTCAATGTTTACTTTAAATTTAAAATCAACGTTCAGTGTTATACCGTCTAAACTTCGATAGCATATGATATAATTATTCTTATATATTATTATTATTTATATGTCAAAAATATTGACAAAATTCAAATTGATAAAAATATTGATATCTTGAAATGAGACAATTTGACATTAAAGATTATATCATGTTCATTGGTCTATATTTGAGGAACATTCTATTAAGGCTATGACTTTGTCCGTGTTTAAAACATTGTTTCCAGCTAATCCATAAGTTGGAGTTTATCCTTTACATCACGGCTGTTAATCCATAGTTGTTTCCATTTGCTTAAAGCCCCACTAGGCATAGATAATGTAAAAACCCTAAATTACGGTTTCTTTCTCTTAGTTTCGTAGGCTTAAAGTTACATCAAGGCAGCTGAATTCTTCGTTGTGGGAAGACTTCCATCGTAACTGCATCTTAACACATCGGGTTTTCTCACTAGCCGAGGCCCGACGGGCACCTTTCCTGCTTTCAGACGAATGTCCTGCACATCGGCCTTTTCTTTAAAACTTATATCATGAAATTCAAGTTTACGAGGCCTGAAAATCAAGAATGATGTTATGTGTTAATTTTCGGGTGAACGATACCTGGTCGAAGATAGCAGTTGGAATTGCAAGAGTTGCGACGGCGTTTGGTGAGTCTACGATCCCAGATATCCGTCCTTCGCAACGGCATCACGATAGCAGAAGGTAAATCTGATGATCACCATTGCTTCGTATGGATCAGTGATGGCTTAACCATAGGTGATTTGTTCGAGTAGAGGCTCGATATCTAGGGATCAACCTACCTGTTCTTTCGAGTATCCAAACTTGGAGAGGTAGTCGATTGCATTGAGTACTGCACATTTGTATGCAACACTAGCGTCAAGAAAATGTTGCTTTCCACTCTCATCCACACTTATTCCCGCAAACACCAACCATTCGGAGAATCTCGGTTCTACTGGTCCGATCTCAAAGATAGGATTTACATGAAGCAGGGTTGGTCCCATTGGAGTGAGGTACTCTTTCATTCCACCTCTTATGATTTCGCACCTATTAAAAACCACACACCAATTACTTAAACAACTGAATACATGCAACAGCCAGAGAGCTATTGCAGAGTTTAGTCTAAATTATTGTAGAAGCTAAATAACTCACTTAAGCTCCAGATAACCACTCATCTCAATTGCTCCGTAAAACGAGACTTCACCGTCACCTTGAGAAAAATGCATGTCACCTGTGCTAAGGTTATCTCAACGAAGACAGGAAGAAATATTTTTGAACCTCTGCTGAGGTTTTTGATGTCACAATTTCCACCATTCTCTCTCTCCGGAATAGTCCTCGTCGCCTCGTTAGCGATCTTTTCCCATTCGGTAGTCCCCTTTTTGATCTACAAATGTGCATTTCTATATTACAGGTCATCATATTATCATTCTATGGTTGGAGATTACATGTTCTGAACAAGAAAACTAATGTAAACAACCTTCCCTAAATGGCAGCCTTTGGTGGATGGAAGATTTGCCAATGGTCGCGTATACAAAACTTCACATAGTTTAGGGACTTATGTCCGTTCTCTTCTACTTCTCTTCTCTTTCATTCCATTTATTCAGAAGTTCCACCGACGGTGCCGTTCCGATTATTCCCGGAGAGTCAACCCCCGAAATCTCACCCCTGCAATTTGTAGATAACAGAAATGAAGGAAAGTGTTTGAAAAGCTTATAACTAGTGGGAACGGATCGAAACTTCATCCGGTATATGAGGAGAGTAAGCATAAATCCCTTCGAAAAACCAAATAGCTTTTGTTGCACATGGGAAATGATCGGTCAAAATCCCTCCACCATTTTCCCTGTCGAAAGTAGCCGTATAACCCCACTCATCACCAGGCAAAGGACTCAAATTACATATTTCCACAGGCATGGCAGGTATGCCATCCTTGTCTTCAACTCTTATAGTCCCACTCATATAATGATTCTGTGTATCATTAATATGTCATTTTGATCATATAACAGGCTAGTTCAAAGATGATTTATGGGACATAAAAATTAAAGATCATACATGATTGTTTACTTACAGTGGAGAGGTCTAAGAATTTGACATCGGTTGCAGAATCATCGTCTTTAATGGCACCTCCAGTCCAGTCTAATGAGCTCACCGGCCTTAACATGGTGACCGGAGGGATGTCGGGGTGCCAACGATTGTGAAGAAGTAGGGGTTGTTCCCATGGCTTCTTCAAGTCAATTGGCACACTAGTCTTGGTGTTGGAGGAGTCCATGGATAAGGCGCAGGACACAACGGAGAGATCGAGATATTTGGTTCGTATTAGGGTCGGTTCACTACCAAGTGATATCACTTTTGCCAAATGTCAATTCTTAGGCACTTTTAAAAGTGTCAATGGAGTTTTAATTCATCGATACAAATAAAAGCAGTGACGACGGTCCATTTTAATTGTCTTTTTTTTAATTCCACCGGTATCTAATTGATTTTTTTTTGGATAAGTAGATTTTATTATCCAGAGGAAAAGTAATTACAAAAATCGTCTCAAAAGGGAGTATAAACAATAATTACAACAAAATAATGATTAGTCTAAACCCCATTTACAACAAATGTTATAGTTAATCGGATAATTTCAGTTGACATTTTTTCCACTAAGCTTGATTCGGACAAGTTTTTGATAGGTGACAGAAGTTGTGTAGCCTCCCTAGTTCTTTGCTGGAAAATTCTATTTCTCTCCTCCCAGATCGCATAGATGAAGGAAGTCCATACTATTTTCAGTAGGGTGGAGATTAAAGATTTACCCCTCCATTCAACACAAGCCCATTCAATCATTGTTTCCCAAGATATTTGGGGTTTACGCAAGTGAGTCAAGTTTAAGGTAGAGTTCCACAGAGTTTTAGCAAAGCTATAATCTGCAAAAAGATGGTTCCTAGACTCAAAAGCCTCATTGCATAGGACACATTAAACATCATTAAGAATTCCCATCCTTGACAGTCTATCCCGAGTTGGGAGTATGTATAGGATTACCATCCAAGCTATCATACTAAACTTAGGAATATGCATAGGGAACCATATGATTATATGCCAAGTCACCTTACTCTTTCTATCTCTGATTGCTTCCCAAATATCTTTAGTGTAAATTGTTCGAGCATTCAAAATTGGGAGAGCAGCAGTCTCAGCTTCAGAAGTTTTTAGTACACCAACTGTGTGCATTGCTTTCATCCATGTCATGGAAGTCATTATTCTTGAGAACATAGCAGTGCAACCAAGCCACCCAAAGGGATTCTTCTCCTGACAGAGTATTTCGAATTAACTGAATCATGCAAGCAATATTCCAGGATTTTAAGATCTTCAGACTTAGGCCACTTTCTGATTTAGGACAGCAAATACTTGTCCAGCTGACTCGCGCCCCAGAAGCTGCCTGATCAGTTCCTTTCCACAGGAACCGAGAACAAGCTGATCTATACGGTTAATAATAGACTGAGAAGCATGAATTGCCTACACCAGAAATTGGCCACACTGAAAAGACTGTTTTGATTAATTCAAGTCTCCCGCATAACTGAGCAACTTACTAAACCAATGATACAACCTTAACTTGATTTTATCCAGAAGAGGCTGGCAGTCAAGTTCAGATAGTTTTTAGTGACTAATGGAACTCCTAATTACCTAAGAGCTGTCCTCATGTTCATGTGCTAGAATTACAATGATAAATGACATGTTATAGATGCTGTTGTATAGCATGATGGGGAATTGTGGAGGGTTGCTCTTGACACTCATAGTCTTCATGATGATCCTGAATGTGGGAAACTGGCTAATTTTGTGCCGCTAACTAATTACAGTTCTCCATCTTTATCATTTATCTTATCACCTGGTTGGCTAATCTTTCTTTGGTAGACATTTACATAAGGGCAGTGAAATCATTTTTTTAATGAGAAGAATATAATACTGATTCAGTTCCATGTTAAACAATGATTTGGCTGGTTGCACGTGGCATTCTATTTTCATATTGTCATATGTTAAGCACTGGTCTTAAAAAAATGTTAAGCGTCCCTCTTGGTGAAATCATTTTTTTAATGATGAAGAATATTAATACTGATTCAGTTCCATGTTAAACAATGATTTGGCTGGTTGCACGTGGCATTCTATTTTCATATTGTCATATTGTTAAGCACTGGTCTTAAAAAAATGTTAAGCGTCCCTCTTTGATTTTATGCTTTTTTCTTTCGAAAACAAAATAATAACTCTGCTGAAACCATCCTTGCAGGATTGAACATAAGTATGGCATATTTAGCAAGTTAGATGCTTGTATATTTGTTGTTAATGTTTATGATGAGGGAAACATCTTAAGTATCGTTATAGACAGCTCTCCTCATGCTACTCATGTTGCTGGTATCGCCACTGCTTTCCACCCAGAGGCACTTCACGCTCAACTAACTGGTTTATGGCCTTTTCTTTTCTGATTTACAATAAAAAAATGTTTATTTATTTGCACGATGGTATAGGAGCCCTTGTTAAACGGTGTTGAACCTGGAGCACAATTAATTTTATGTAAAATTGGAGATTCATGCTTAGGTTCAATGGAGACTGGAACTGGCTTGACACGGGCACTGATAGCTGCCGTCGAGGTGGGTAGAAGTGCATTTTTATGATGATCTAATCACATATGTGCTGTCCTCGAGGCATTTGTTAACTTGATTAGTTATAACCGTCTGGCGTACCTCCAGGCTATGTTCCATACTTCAATATGAACACAGAAAATATGATCATATATCTTTCTATGTATATATGCATTTAGTATTGATGGGTAGCTATTCTAGCATGTCGTCTCTTTTTGTCAGTGTATGATATCACTAACTTCAATATGTTTCATTTTAATCATTTCCATTTGGATTTTTTACCTCTTTTTCCTTTGACAGCGTAAATGTGATATGATCAACATGAGCTACGAACATATAAAAGAAAAATCTCGGAATACTTGTTGCCTAACAAATGGTGAAGGGATATGATTGTCTGCTCCTCTTGTGCCAACCAGGGTAACATTTTGAGCAGCAGTACATATCTAGCTCTATTATTTAAGTATTTGTACATATCTAGCGTGAGTGTAACATATATTCGATCATAACATAACCGGTGGTATTATCTTCCGAACGCATTTCGAATCTATATCTATATCCGATACTCGTACCGATCAAGATGGTATCAACAAGCAAGAGCAACAGAAATAGCTATCAAAGCAAAATCAAGGACCCCCGGTGCATTTCAGTAATCAGCAGCATAAACAACTTTTCAGTTGGAACCAAATAAAATTTCAGATCATAAATGACAAAAGGAAAGAAGAAGTTGACCTGCATTGAGGGCAACAGTGGTCCAGCAACCATATCCATGTTTAAGGACATAGGTCCTGAGCTTAAGGTCTTCTTCAGGTGACCATAACCCCTTCCTGTGCTTAATTCTGGGTTTCTCCGATGATTTGGAACCCATTTTGTTCTGCTTGAAGCTTACAAAAGTAGGCTTTATTTGATACAACAAATGATGAACAAAAGTAATGAGGTTAATGTTGAAAATGCATGCACCACCGAAAGTGCCAAGTAAGTTGGCAATTATTTTCAAGAATTAATGCACCGAAAGGTGCATGGAATTTTTTTATTAAATGGGATAATTCAATTTAGTCATTATACTTTAGGGTATTTACAAATTAGTCCTTATGTTTCAACTATAAATACCCTAGCTCATTTAGCTTCAAAATCATCCCAAAGCATTTTAGCTTTCTTCCAATACTAGAGAGAATTTAGAGAGTTTCTTGAGAGTTGTTTTCTCCTATTTATCAAGAGAGAATTATTGTGTACGTGATGTACAACTCCCAAGAAATCTCAAAGCTGGATCCAAAATCTAGGAAATGCAAATTTTTGGGGTATGCTGATGGAGTCAAGGGGTATCGCTTGTGGGATCCCACTGCCCGCAAAATGATCATCAGCAGGGATGTTATCTTTGTAGAGGATAAACTACAAAGAAAAGAAGACGATGATAGCACTGAAAAGTCAGAGACTACACAGATAAATGTGGAAAAGGAGTTTGAACAAGGAGATTCTTCTGAAGCAGAACCAGCACATGATGAACAAGAACCAGAGAGTTCTGAAGCACCAACAACTCGTCAATCATATCGTGTGAGAAGACGCCCCAATTGGCACTCAGATTATGTTATAGAAGGTAATATTGCATACTGCCTTTTAACAGAGGACGGTGAGCCATCAACATACCAGGAGGCAATAAACAACTCAGTTGCTTCACTGTGGGTGATGGCGATGCAAGAAGAAATTGAAGCCCTTCATAAAAATAATACATGGGACCTTGTGCCACTACCACAAGGAAGGAAGCCAATTGGTAACAAATGGGTCTTCAAAATCAAGCGAAATGGTGACGATCAAGTTGAGAGGTATCGTGCAAGACTGGTGGTCAAAGGATATGCTCAAAAAGAAGGTATTGATTTCAATGAATTATTTTCTCCTGTGGTTCGACTAATAACAGTTCGAGTAGTTTTGGCAATGTGTGCTACATTGAACTTACATCTAGAGCAACTAGATGTTAAAACAACTTTTCTTCATGGAAATCTTGAAGAAGAGATTTACATGCTCCAGCCTGAAGGTTTTGAAGAAAAAGAAAAGAAGAACTTGGTTTGCAGGTTGAACAAATCTCTGTACGGTCTAAAGCAGGTGCCGAGGTGTTGGTATAAGAGATTTGATTCCTTTATTATGTGCCTTGGATACAACAGACTTAATGCAGACCCTTGTGCTTATTTTAAGAGGTCTGGTGATAACGATTTTGCTATATTGCTGTTGTATGTGGATGACATGTTGGTTGCAGGACCCAAAAAAGATCATATTGAAGAATTGAAGGCACAACTGGCTAGGGAATTTGAAATGAATGACTTGGGATCAACAAACAAGATTCTAGGGGTGCAAGTTCACCGAGACATAAGTAATAGGAAGATTTGGCTTTCACAAAAAAATTACTTGAAGAAGATCTTGTCAAGATTCAACATGCAAGATTGTAAGCCAATTTCTACCCCTCTTCATATTAACTTCAAATTATCCTCCAGTATGAGTCCTAGCAGTGAAGAAGAGAGGATGGAGATGTCTCGAGTACCGTATGCATCAGCAGTGGGAAGTTCAATGTTCGCTATGATATGCACAAGACCAGACATTTCACAAGCAGTGAGAGTGGTTAGTCGGTACATGGCGAATCCATGCAAAGAGCATTGGAATACAATAAAGAGGATCCTGAGATACATAAAAGGGACCTCAAATATTGCATTATGTTACGGAGGATCAAATTTACTTGTCAATGGGTATGTTGATTCTGACTATGCAGGGGATTTGGATAAAAGCAAATCTACTACAGGATATGTGTTTAAAATTGCTGGTGGAGCTGTAATCTGGGTTTCAAAATTGCAGTCATTTGTGACTACATCCACAACAGAGGCAGAATATGTAGCAGCTACACAAGCCAGTAAAGAAGCAATTTGGTTGAAGATGCTATTGGAAGAGCTTGGGCACAATCGAGAGTATGTCTATATGTTTTGTGACAGTCAAAGCGCCTTGCATCTAGCAAGGAATCCAGCATTTCATTCAAGGACAAAGCACATACGAGTTCAGTACCATTTCATTCGTGAAAAGGTGGAAGAAGGGGCAGTAGATATGCAGAAGATCCATACCAAAGACAACATAGCAGATTTCATGAGGAAGGCGATCAATGCTGATAAATTTACCTGGTGTCGATCCTCTTGTGGCCTGTCAGAGACATAAGCAACATGATGGTGCAAGGTAGAAAGAATGATGTGAAGATATGATTGTTTCAATCAAATCTTCAAGTGGGAGATTGTTGAAAATGCATGCACCACCGAAAGTGCCAAGCAAGTTGGTAATTATTTTCAAGAATTAATGCACCGAAAGGTGCATGGAAATTTTTATTAAATGGGATAATTCAATTTAGTCATTGTACTTTAGGGTATCTACAAATTAGTTCTTATGTTTCAACTATAAATATCCTAGCTCATTTAGCTTCAAAATCATCCCAAAGCATTCTAGCTTTCTTCCAATACTAGAGAGAATTTAGAGAGTTTCTTGAGAGTTGTTTTCTCCTATTTATCAAGAGAGAATTATCATTGTTTTCTCCTCGGTAGATCGAGAGAAGTTGTAATTCATATTTTCTCATAGTGAAATTCTTCTACCGTTGTCCGTGGTTTTTAACCTATATTATTTATGGGGTTTTCACGTAAATTTTGTGTCTCTTTTTATCTTCATTTTTATTTTCTCAAATTATCAGTTGCGATTTTGCTCTATCCGACGACCGTCTTCCGTAACAGTTAAAGGGCAAGCTACAGGAACAGCAGCAGAAGCAATAAATAGGCAATCCCCTAAAGAATCATTAAAGTTTAAAATAAAGCCAAGTTTAGTTAATTAACAAGTTTATCCTCTCAGGCCTTTGGATCACTTACGGGAAAACTTAGCTACTAGATGTCAAATATAATTATTTTAAAAAATAAAATTTATTTATTAATCAGTACATAGGAATATATTCTGCAATTTTGGTATCTCCCAGGTTAGTATAATTTCGTTGAATTTGCTTTAACTTTTCAGCTTTAGCAGACTTTTTCATTAAACTTAATCATATATATATATATATATATATATATATATGTGTGTATATTTGTTTGTTTTTATGCATTGGATACATAGTTTCCTGCAATTCTTTTGATTTCAAATTAAATATATATTTTATTAGTTATAATCTATTTAGTTTTTTTATTTAATTATGTTACATTTTTATAATTTAATCGCATTATCCTTATAGCTTTGAATTAGAACTGAAATTTTAAGTTTTGAAAAGGGACCAAATAGCATATTGAACGGTCTACCTTAAAAATAATCGATATTAAGACGATGATTAAATTTTACAAGACTACAACTTGTAATTAACCAATGAAACCGATTGGATTAAATGTTAAACAAGGTAGGTGGGGTGATTAGTATTTTAAATTATTGCATATCAATCCCTCCACTTTGCTTATTTTATTTAACACGATTTTTTTTAAAACAAATAATAAAAAGATGTGAACAGGTTTTGGTAATTTATGATGTTCCTTTTCTATACCGACAGTTGGCATTTGTGTACAAAGCAACCATTTGAATTCCTATTTTATATTTCAATCGAAGCAATTGTTGCATAGATTTGACCATCCAATCATTTAATATGAATTGATATAAAAACAGTGTCATGCAAATAATTAAGATGCTTTCTTACAATAATAATAATATTATTATTTATTTTAGAAAATCTGGTTGACCCAATCATCAATTATTATTTTATTTCTTTGAATCATTAGTAAATTATTGTTAATTACGATTGCTTAAGTACTTTTTAATTCTTAATACACCTTAAAAAGAATTTTTTTAATTAAAAGTATCCTTTAATACAATCATAAATGGAATAATTTTCTAATTATGTATATGAAATAATAATTGGAGGCTTGGGAAAGTTTTGAAGATTAGGAATATTAAGGAGAGTTGAGAATGTTTTGGCGAAGGATTTAAATATGTGGTTTTACAGTAATAAATCATCAATTAGGATTCAATTAATTTCTTGAAAATGTTTTATAGTAAAAATGAATGCAAAGGAAACCAATTAGAAATGCAGATGCATTTTGGGTTAGTAAAATATATTGTGCATATTAACTAAAATACATCTTATGAAACATCCCCAACCAACATTTGTAAAATTGGATTCAGAAACATTTGTATAAGGGAAGCATGCGAGGATTCCATTCAAACCAAAACAGAGCATGTATAGCCGAAAATCATGGTTAATATTCTGTCAATTTTTCTATATTTGGAGAATGGTTTTAAGGCTAATTTCCAGTATTATATTTTGTAATAATAGCTTAGTTTTAGCCTTGCGGTTTACTTGTTTCCTTTTCTTAGCTGTACAACTTTCTGTATATAATTTCAAT